AATGTTGTGTCACCGACAGTTTACCACTTTCGACCAAGCAAAGCAACTCATTTTGTTTGTCTACAAACTGCTGGACCATGAATGTTTTGTCATCGAAAGTTTACCACTTTCGACCAAGCAAAGCAACCCTTTAGCTCTTTTGAGTCTATTTTCTTTCTGTTGCGGTGTAAGTTCTTGCACTTTTTGAATTTGAATGGCTAATTACTTTACCCCGATCTCATTGTTCAATGTTTGCATTTTTCGGCCACTGCGACGCGCGTTTCGTTCAAGATGCTTTTTAATTTTTCGAACCATTTCTGCTGATGTTGCTGTTTTCTTCCGTCCACTTCCTTGACGTCGGGCTACGCTACCAGTATCACGGTAACGAGTGATGGTACGAGACACAAAAGGTTTATTCCTATTTAAATGCTGGAGTGTTCTAACGATAGCCACTTGTGGTTTTCCAGCCAAATATAAAGAAATCATACTATCACGCTTGAATTTCATCACTAATAAGTTTTATTCCGGAAAATTCTCACAAAAATGCTTTTGTATGCTTGTAAACAATATAATGAGCTGACACTGGAATAATTTTAACAGCTGTCGGATGAGTGGCTTAGGAATGACAGCAGTCAGAAGGTGATTGCAGTTTTTTCATCTCACCTGTAAGGTTCACGATTTTGCTCAAAAAATTCTATTTAAAAAATCCGAGATTATTACCTTGACAGTGGCTGAAAAAATTCTATTTATAAAATCCGAGCTTATTACTCTGACAGTGGCTCAAAAAATTCCATTTAAAAATCCGAGCTTATTACTCTGACAGTGGCTCAAAAAATTACATTTAAAAATCCGAGCTTATTACTTTGACAGTGGCTCAACATATTCAATTAAAAAAATTCACTCTTATTGCTTTGATAGTGGTTCAAAAAATTCTATTTAAGAAATCCACGTTTATTGTTTGATAGTGGCTCAAAAAAATCTATTTAAAAAATCCACGCTTATTGCTTTGATAGTGGCTCAAAAAATTCTATTTAAAAAATCCACGCTCAAAAAAAATCTTTGAATACTTATCTAAATATAGATATAAATATAGAAATATAAATATAAGTACATTTATGTACCTTAAAACTATTCAAATAGCTATGAAAAAACGCCCACATTTTTTTATTATTGCCATAAAAAATAATGATATACTCAATACCTTTTATTATAAACAAATCTACCCAGTAAGTATTTACGGTCAATAGCACTTTTTATACTGACTGGCAGTTTTGTAAACAAATTGTGCCGGCCATTAATTAATTTTATTATCAATTAATACGTTATTTGCTCCCATCAAACGCTCAAACATACACACACTTGCCCATATTTTCGATACAATGTAGACAATTTGTTTATAAAACAATTTCAATAACATTTGTTTACTATTATTGTTCACTTCATTCACAGACAATTGCCAATAGAAATGTTATCTGATAACAGAAAACAATCATTTACATTCAAACGGCAAATTCTCCTCTTCTGTTAGGTTCAAATGTTAAAGTTTACACTGTTAACCGATTGACTTACATTTCATTGGGTGATGTTTGCGCATGTCGGAGAAACCCCTGTTTGAACTCACCCCAGTTGCAGCAGTTGAGAGCCGACACGCACACATACAAATAATGGCATTTTTACTCTCTCGGAAAACTTCTCAAGCTCACTTACAAAATGTGCGGAAATTTGCATTGAATGAAAAATGTACCGTTTAGAGACAAAATGCCTTTACATGAAATATATAACAGCATCTAATGTAGGTCTATGGTTACAATGTTACCAGATGATTTGAAATAATGGGACCAATTGGAAGATAAAGAAGTCAAAATGTTGAAAGTTTTAAAAACAATTTTTTCAGTAGCGATCGATTAATTTGTCCTTTAGCCACGATTGATGATATAGAGTTTAATGAATATATTTTGGAGCTGTGTTTTTTTTTTTTTAAATAACCGTCTACTAATATCAATTTTTTTAAAAATATTATTTTAAACTGGAGTTATGGAATAAAAAAATTACAATGTCTGTCTACGATTTTCCAAAAATATTTCGTTACTCAATTGATTTTTTAATATTTTAAGAGCCAAAGTCGTCCTTTTTCTAAAATATTTCTAGAGACATGTTTTTTGAAAATGTAAGTGACACGGATTTTTTATTTTTATACTCTACAACACTATATAGGGGTTGTTATAAGTTTGATTGGGCCTAAAATTATGTAACACTTCGAAATATTGGTTTCCAACATAGGGACCTATATATGGATACTCTTAACTCGCCGAGCTGAGTCGATCTAGCTATCCATGTCCGTCCGCCTGTCCATATTAATTTGTTACCAAGCTACAGGCCACAATTATGGTCCGACTTTTGAAAATAATTTTTACATTTTTTTTTAAATTTTATTAAATAAAAACAAAAAAATGTCGGAAATAGCATCAAATTTTAGAATAAGTTTAGATTTGTTCGAATTGGCCACCTTTGGTATGAATTATGGCCTTCAAACGGCCAATGAAACAGTCAGTTGTTTTCTTCCGTACACTTCCTTGACGCCGGGCTACGCTACCAGTATTGCTTTAACGAGCGATGGTACGAGACTCAAACCATTTATTCACATTTAAATGCTGGAGTGCTCTAACGATAGCCACTTGTGGTTTTCCAGCCAAATATAAAGAAATCACACTATCCCGCTTGAATTCCATCACGAATAACTTTTTTTCTGGAAAATTCTCACCAAAATGCTTTTCTACGCTTGTAAACAATATAATGAGCAGTCACTGGAATAATTTTAACAGCGGTCGGACGAGAGGCTTATAAATGACAGCAGTCTGAAGTTGGTTGCAGTTTTTTCATCCCACCCTGTGCACCCAGTGAGCTGCCGAACTCGAACGAGTTTCGATCAATTTCAGAAGGTCTGGACATCTGCTCCTGGTCATTCCCAAAGTGAGTTGCCGAACCCGAACGAGTCCCTATTCATCTCAGAAGACCTGGACATTTGCTCTCGAACATACCTACCGTAAGCTACTGAACCCAAATACTTATGACGATATGTACATATTTTTCCGAATTTCCAACCCACTTCAGAAGACCGGGACATTAACATCACAACCACAGGCATCGTAAAACCTGACTATCTAGCACTCGTTACCTTCACATCGCAAAAATCCGGAATGCTGAGGTCACTCTGAACAAAAATATTGTAATTCCTGATCTCCCGTACCAGTCAACATCTGATGATCATCCAGGAGCACCTTCGAATCGTGAGTAACCTGAACATTCACATCAACCACCCGAGTACCAATCGCAAACAACTCGACATCGCAACATCTTAGTTCCCGAGTATCCATGAATAGTTCAATCTCTGAATATCAACCTTAGTATCCGCTATTCTCGATCATCATCGAAGACCTTCGGATGATATTTTTTAGAGGAAAACGTTTCAAAACACCATTTTCTTTAAACAATTTTCAGAAAGTATTCTATCTGTAGCGGACCTCCTAATTCTCCTGGCTTTCGGGTGCGAAATCAGGAATGGTTTGTCTCACGAGTCGACAAATGATAAGCACTCGAGACACGGGATTGGTCCTCATGATTCGGTATGGATCCCATTTTACCGGGAGTGCAAGGCTAAGTCAAAAGAAGATGCAATTCCTTTTTCTACAAGGAAATGGGAAGCTAAGCTGCAAGTGACCTTAACAAGTACTCCTACAAATAAACGAGCATAATATATATCCAAGCAATAATATATATCCAAGGATATACAAGTAAACGTTTGTGAGATATCTTAATAAGTATTTGAGCATTTCTACAAAGATATTGAAGGGTCCACAAGAATATGCAAATCTAGGATACCTCCACTAGAGACCTTAATAAGTAGTCAAGCAGAATCTACAATGGTATGTATGGATTCTAAATTCAGGACATAGAGGCCTGGATAAGTACCAAAGAATTCAGGACTTAGAGGCCTGTAAAAGTTCTCTAAAGAAGGATGTCTAAGGTTAAGTTCACTTAATGTTGATTGATGACTGTTTAAAAAAAAAAATTGTACGAAGAGCTTACCCAGCCTAAGGGAAAAATCTGCCGCAATAACACCAAAGTATTCTACACACTTGCCTACGACTAGATAATCTCTGAAATATACTCTATCTACAGGAAAACCCGAAATTTCATGTTATCGATATAATACTTTGGTAGGTTTTTTCATAAAAGAAACCCAAAAATATTTTTTTAGGAGAAAGGTCCTTTGGCGACTGAAGATTTTGAGATAGTTTATAGAGAAGTATATTTACCTTCAGCAGATCATGGCTTTCATAAATTCAAAAAGTCAAAACTTTAGTTTGTGCAAATCTGGCATCTCTGCAAGGCACAGTTATTTGCTCTTCATATTTCTCTCTCAACACTCTCTTTTTATACTAATGGAATTTGTTGTTATTCCGTTTACTGTTAAACCAGCAATGTTTGTTGTTTGCAAAAAAAAGGTTCAATGTTTGTGTGGGTGGGAGGGAGGCTGGCTGTATCAATGAATGGGTGTACGTGCGTGAGAATGTGCGTGCATGCGGGCGTGCAGAATTGGTGTTTTGGGTATTTAGACATGTTCTGCGAAAGATAAAGATGTTCGGTGTAGGTCGCGTTTGTAAAATAAAGACGATACGATTGAGTTGTGCAGCAAATATAAAAAACAGATAATATTTTCATAGCTACTGTTAGGTTGAAATGTAGATTAATGACAATCGTGATGATGATGATGTTGACGTTAATGATGATAATGATGACGATGTTTGGCTGATGAGTAACAGCCCAAGCCGACGATGAGCATTCGTACAAGCTTTAACATCAATAATAACATCCACATTGAGAAAGAATACAGAAAATACACAGAGTGCAGTGCAGTACAGAACCCCTAAAAACGGAAGACCCACTGAATATACATACAGAGTGTAACCCATAAAGGCCTGCCTCTGACTGGCTGTATGGTTTGATTGCTTGCTTTCGTTCTGGCTTGCTTGCTGGCTGTTTGACTGATAGAACCATAAACCAACGAGAGGGAAATCATTCGTTAGTAGTCTGCCTGGTGTGTGGCCACGTTCAAGAGTATACAACGGACGCGTTCTCAATTAAAAAAGAAGCAACAACAACAAACATACAACAACAAAAGAAGACAAAAAATCAAACAAACAAAACAAAGTTCCCCAAAAAAATAAAATAAAATGCATAATAAAATTTAATAATAAAAAATAATTATTTTAAATGGAAATAAATAGCAATACGTTCGGAAAATATCCAGAGCACATGCAAAACAAATGAAAAATTAAGTACCTAAAAAAAATTGTTTTGCATTTTTTTCCGTGTCTGTGGATGAGAGTGAGATTTTAGAAGAAATTCATAAGCAATGATTTAAATAATGTAAGTGGATAAAAAAGTGAATTAAAAATTAATTTATTAAAAAAATATTTAAAAAATTGAAAAATAATAAATTTAAAAATTCCGGAAAGAAAGTCTGTTGGGAAAACTATTAAAAATTTATCCCTTCTAACGTTCCCAGTGTAAATATCCGTTCGCTTAAAAATCCGTTACGCGCTTCAACACCAACTTCATTTACTTCCGTTTTGCAAATCATTTGGCTGGCCAACAGGCCATAACAACAACATGTCGTTAAGTTGCCTTTGTGTGCCGCGCTGTTAATGCGTCTACATCTCGACAGCATTAGTGTGTAAGTGTGTGAGTGTACCACGAAAAATCCACAAATTACCAACGGAAGTGTAGACCTGTGCAGATGTGTGTGCCATGTTTATGCCTTTAATCCGTGTGTAGGCATTTGCTTATCTTTATATGTGTATGTGTGTGAGTGTGATTTTTGTGAGCCTGTATGGGCTGTAGATTTGTGTGTGTGTAAAAACGTGTGTCGCTCTAAACATTTCCGTCATATTTCGGCCTGGCTAATTGCTAAAACCCAACAAGGATTTGTACTTGTCTTGTCCTGTTTTTTTGTTGGAAGGAGTGCGTGTAAAGAATGCCAAATTATTACCGAATGACAAGAAATGCCTACAAAAAATATCTAATGAGAGCTTTACTAAGACGGCAAAACGGATATATTAAAGCAAACAAAAAAGGGGAACAACGAAACAACAAAAAAGGATAAGTGTTAAAAATGAAGGATGTGAATACAAGACAGAAACAAATGTCCTTTTAACGTTTCGAACAACACACAATATTCCATAATGAGTGTATTAGTGCCGAGAATGAATGATATGCTAATGAGTGTCCCTCCACCCTACCTCTACTCAGTTCGCACACACATTCTTACCGATAATCGCCGGGCCCTACATTGTCTGCCTGATGGCTTTCAAGTTCATAGCCATTAAAATAAATTTTATGTTGCAAATACAGGGTGAGATAAAAAAATCTGCAATAAAGTCAAAGGCCATAACTTTTAATTTTTTTTTTAATTTTATTGAATGAAAGCAAAAAATGTCGGAAATAGCATCAAATTGTAGAATCTCGTCACTTCGGTAAAAAAAGTTTCTTTTTTTTGTCACAGAAGTTATTTTTTAAATAACTTCTGGGGAGAATATCCCAGACAAAAAACAAGGAAACTGATGAGCATTGGTGGCTCTTTCCGAAACCTAGGTGCTCCTTGCCATACCCCCTGGAAAACATTACCATCGTTCTCCACTAATAAACAAACGTTGTTTTTATAGAAACAACAATAAAGGGATTAAGCCTGACCATTTTGCAACAACAAAATACTATGGTATCCCGAACAAACCAGCCAACGCTGTCTATTTTAGAGTATGTTTAGATTTGTTCGAATTGATTAGCTTTGGCACGAATTACGGCTTTACGGCCAATGAAACCGTCACACGCTGCCCAAATGTTGCTCTGCGGTATTTTGGCCCATTCCCAGCGAAGCGATTGCTTGAGGGGATCGACACTTTGGCATTTTTTAGTGCCAACCTTTATTTCCAAAATACTCCAGACACAATAGTCCAAAGGGATTGGTATCCGGAGATTTTGGTGGTCATTGTGCGCTGGAAATGAAGCGTGGAACTTAATTTTATAATCATTTTTGGGTGGCCCGTGCTGAGTGCGATGGTGCTGAGTTCTGTTGGAATGCCCAAGGTTGGGGATCAACATGTTTGCGGTATTTTGGCCCATTCTCGGCAAAGCGCTTGCTTGAGGTGATCGGCACTTTGGTATTTTTTAGTGTCAACCTTGCTTTCCAAAATACTCCAGACACAATAGTCCAACGGATTCGTGTCCGGAGATTTTGGTGGCCATTCTGCGCTGGAAATGAAGCGAGAGACCTCATTTTGTAACCATTCTTGGGTGGCACTTGCTGAGTGAGATGGTGATGAGTCCTGTTGGAATTTCCAAGGTCTGTAGCCAAATGTTTGCGTACACTCCAGAATATTTTAGCGATAATAGTCGGCATTTATTCTGATGCCACGGTCGATTAATATGAGCGGAGAGCGACCATTGGCTGTTATGGGGGCCCACACCATCAATATGGCCGGCGCTTGGGTTCTGGACCTCTTTGGCAAGTAAAGACGCTTGCTTGAGGTGATCGACACTTTGGTATTTTTTAGCGCCAATTTTACTTTTCAAAATGCTCCAAACACAATAGTCCAACGGATTGGTATTCGGAGATTTTGGTGGCTATTATGCGCTTGAAATGAAGCGAGGAACCTCATTTTGTAACCATTCTTGAGTGGCGCGTATTGAGTGCGATGGTGCTGAGTCCTGTTGGAATGTCCAAGGTCTGCGGCCAAAATGTTTGCATGCCCAAGGCTTCAATACACCCTCCAGAATATTTTCGCCATAATATTGGGCATTTATTCTGATGCCACGATCGATTAATACGAGCGGAGAGCGACCATCGGCTGTTATGGCGCCCCACACCTTCACCATGGTCGGCGCTTGAGTTCTGGTGGCCAACCGAAGGTGCACGTTTTCAGCTGACCTCTTTGGCAAGTAAACACGATCATTTCGTCGGAGAAAAGCAAATTCGGCAGTTCACCACTTTCAGCCAAGCGAAGCAACTCTTTAGCTCTTTTGAGACTGTTTTCTTTCCGTTGCGGTGTAAGTTCTTGCAATTTTTGAAATTTCAATGGCTTTATCCCGAGCTCATTTTTCGATATTAGCCGAATACTGCGATACGTTCAGCACACGAGCCATTTTTCGGCCACTGCGACGGGGGTTTCGATCAAGTCGCTTCTTTAGTTTTCGAACCATTTTTGCTGATGTTGCTGTTTTCTCCCGTCCACTTTCTTGACGGAAGTCGGGCTTCGCTACCAGTATCACGGTAATGAGCGTTGTTACGAGACACAAAAGATTTATTCACATTTAAATGCTGGAGTGCTCTAGCGATAGCCACTTTTGGTTTTACAGCCAAATATAACGAAATCACACTATCACGCTTGAATTCCATCACGAATATCTTTTTTTCTGGAAAATTCTCACCAAAATGCTTTTGTACGCTTGTAAACAATATAATGAGTTGTCACTGGAATAATTTTAACAGCTGTCGGATGAGTGGCTTAAAAATGACAGCAGCCCAAATTTGGTTGCAGTTTCTTCACCACACCCTGTATTGGGCGCACATTGTCATTTATTTTGCTTTAATTTATGGCTTATTTTCGTTGTTACATTTTTTCTCTCAATTTCTTCTCTCCGAACTGTAAACAAAAACAAAGAAATGCAAGGGTTATAAATGGCATCAATGAACTGCAAAAAATCAACTCATATTCAATTTCAAAAACAAAACAAAACATATTTTGTGGTTAAATCTCAGTCAAATGATATATCATTACGGCCTCTGCCAATTCAAGTAGTTACTATGCAACAAACAAAACTGAAAAAAAATAAATATTTTAATGAAGGGTGATTAAAAGCGCATTAATCACATAATGTTAAAGTTGAAATTGAAGAGCATTAAGTGATTGCTTCAATATAATCACTTAATGCTCTTCAATTTCAAAAAAAAAAAAAAAAAAAAAAAATCAAACAAAAAAGCAATCACACAAAAACAAGTTTCAAAGAGATATCAGGCATTAACGTATACGAAAAAACAATAGTCATGAAATAATTAAATATTCTAGCTGTTTTTTACGTTTATAAATTTCAGTATCTTCATTAGCTTAATTATTCCACCGATTTTTTTCTATAAATACACTTTTTATTGCCACTCAACAAATTAGCTACTTAAAAGTGTCACAAAAATTAACTTCACAATCAAATTTAGAGACTTTAATAAAAACCTTAATAAATTTATTATAATTTGCAGAATTTGTATTCTGAAATTGAGATAAATGAATTTATTACAGTCCAGTGGCAGTTCTTTCCCTTTTAACTTTACAAAGCTTCAAGGATTTTTAAACTTCTTGTAATTTTCAATATTTCGAATTTTTGTTAGGAGTTGAAATAAACTGTTCTGTTGAAATTAGTTTGCGGTTCTTTAAGAATTACCCTTCTTTCGGATATTAATTTTTTGATTCATAAAATTATTTTTTTTAGAGATGGATGCTATTCTTAAATGTGGAAGCCACTTGTTCGTAAGAAAATTTTTTTGGTATAACAAGACAAAATGCCTAGAAGTTGACAAACCAAATGTATTTTGAGTATCTGTTGCATAGCAAAAAAGCACTGATTTTTTGGAATTTTTTAAAAAGAAATGAACGGCATTGAAATGTGAGATGAAAGGGAAATTTTTAGAAACATGTATTTTTATTTAAAAAACACGATTTTCAGTTAAGAGGTCCTACAATCCTAAATTTCTGAAAAATTCAAAAATTTCTGGTGGTCGTGGAAAAACCTCTTTAAAAAATCCCCAATATTTGGTAATACATATTTTTTAATGTTATCGCCCATTTCACTTGTAAAATATTATCGGAAATGGCGAGCTTCTGTCCTGTCCTAGTATTTAGCCTCATGCAAAATTCCGCTCGGTAAGATGGTTTGTGGATGGATGACCAATATTTCGAGCGGTATAAGTTATTCCAATACAACATTTTAAAATAAAACAAGTAAGAAAAGCATATAGTCGTGCGGGGTCCGAACAAATTTTAGTCCTTTATTCGAAATAATGTCATACTGCCCTGCATTTTCCTTATATTTGCACTTTAAGACGTGCTGATAGGTATCCATTACAATTTCACACAAAAGTTGTGGTCCATTTTATCCGCTAAATATAATTCAAAGGGTCGTCAAAAATGCTACACTTCGGCACTGTCCTAAACCCGGCACTCGGCACTGTCAAAATCCGTCCAGCCGTTGACCCTCTGTGGAATGGGTCTATATTGTCCAATTTCGCACAAGACATGACACTGAAGCAAATATTGGGATCTGAAAGGACACCCCTAAATCCAAATGTACTGAAACGGATCTAAAACTGATATTTCGATGAG